TCCAAGTTCTCTTGTTCCTTTCTTGATAATGTGCCGTTAAAACATAGACATTAAGACAATTAATAAAGGTAATGTGTGACTTGCCCTTTAATAAAAGTATATATTCTATAGAGAATTTTAAGTGCCACCAGTCTGTTGTTATGTTAATTCCTAGAAACTCCTTCATTACTAAGAGAACAAAAGTTCTACCAGAGGTCTTCATTCATACGTGTTTTTCTGGGTAACAGATGTAAGATAAATTTAGAAGATGGTTTTACTATTTGCAGACACTCTGCCTAATCTTCATGTAATTTATCTGTCATAAAATCAAGGTTTTTTCTTTTTTTTTTTACCACGTTTTAGAGTGGAGAAAGTTCATTGAAAATATGCTAATTAAACTTTGTGTCAGAAGTTACCCAGAATAGGTATTTACTCTCTTTAATGCTTGGTTCGGAGCCATTCATATTTCTGATAGTGTAGCCCTGCATCTCAAATTAGCATCATAAAGAAGTTATAGGGGAAATAACAACTGAAAACTTTGTTACCTGCTTCCTTGGATAAGCACCTGGAAGACAGGAGTTGGTTCTTGTTGATTACCTCACCCCTGGTGCCAAGTGTAATGCCTAACACACAGTAGATATTCAATAAATAGTTGCCGAGTGAGTGTTAAATGCGCTTTTGTTCGACAAGACAGTGACAGGGAGTGCCTTATTTACTTGACACTTCCTTGCTTTCTCTATACCATAGGCGTGTTCTATAGATCACCGAATGTGAAGCCAGTCACTTGCCGGAGGGTCAGTAAGCGAACTGCAAAATTGAGAAATGATGCTCCCAGCTCAGTGCAGCCCAGCCCTGTTTCCTAAAACACACAAGTCAGTTGCCAGACAGAAAATATTAAGGCCAGTTTTAAAGTAGGCAGAAATCAGAAAAAAAATTAACTTTAGCCACATTTAAATATGAAAACATTGGAATGTTTTCTTTAAAATACCATAATGAAAGGCCATGCCCCACAATTTCTATTAAAAAAGTAAAACATACTTCCTGTTAGAATCATCTCATGAGTCCCTGTCTTTTTCAACAGCTGCTTCCTCTTCTTCAGAGGGGAATGTTTGTAGTCCTTGGGTTAGAACTTTGATGTGTTCACCAGGGGAGAGTTTATCACAAAACTGTAGGACTAGATCTCATCTTGTACTTACATGAAAGTCATCAATACCCTTTGTTTATGGGCTTTGTCTCTTTTCTGCTGACCCTGTGAAATTGCTCCTACGAGCTGGACAATGATTATAATGGTGGTTAACTACTTAACAAAAGTTCCTAGAGGGTTTTATGATGCACCCTGAAACATGGGTTGATCTCAAGGTTTCAAGGTGTATAGGGACATTATTTTCAAATCATGCAAGTGCCTGATTTTGGTGCTTGGTGAGAGGCTGTCCAGAAGTTGATGTGGTATTGAGAGGCCTGAGCACGGGGAAGAAAGGTGCTCATGGGTAGCCTATAATGATATTCTGTTGAAGCTTCCGTCGGTGAACTTGAGAAAAAAGAAAAAAAGCATTATCCAAATAGAGGAAACTCTTAAGTGTTGTTGTAAACTACTTTTTGCCTGTTTGGTTCAGGCAGTGGAGGTCACTCCCAGCAGCAGATACACAAAGCATTTGGTTTGAGTAATAAAGTACAAAGTATAATGTGAATATTTGGACACATTACTCTTCCTGACATCACTCGGGGTGAACATTTTGGACATTAGGTTAACAGTTTTCACAAGTATGATGTCAGAAGTCAGCGTCATTGAAAGGTGTGGCTCCCTGCACCGCGGAGCTCCCGCCGGCCATCTAGGACTATCTTTGTCTCCCTTTTAAGACAGCTTGGTCGAACTAATTAATCACTAGAGGTTCATTCGCCCCAGATGCTCAGCAGAAACAGTGCAATAATTTGATATTTCTGAGAGGACTGCTTGGTTTTCCTTCCATAAAACTACACCTAATAAAGGGAAAGAATGGGAAAGAGTAGAAGACAGTAACATTGACATAAGGGCTTTCTGATGAGCCTGCGAGAGCTGGGCCGTTTTTTCGATCCTGGCGCCAGGGGTCAACACTCAGGCTCTCAGGCAGCAGTGCGCTGATGAAGACCAGTGGAGGCAACCACAGAAGGTCTGGAAGCCTCAAAAATCTCATGATGGTTCTGGCATTATAGTCTCTGATCCTGGTCCAAAGTTAAAACTTCGTGCCCAATCGACACACTTCTCCATTCTGATGATTTGTAACATACTTTAAATGGACAGCATACCTCTGCAGGCTAATTCAAGCTAAATGTGAGCCTACCAATACTTTAAAATACCGACAGGAGTCAAATATCCTTCCTTCCCAATCTCTGAATTGTGTTATATGATATAATTTAAAAAGCTAGTTTTGAGAAACACCCTAGATTGTTTACACAGTATATTAAATTTTTTCATCACCATAATTATGAAAGTGAGTATTTCTCTGAAATGATTTGAGTCATTAGTCCTATTCCTAAACCACCCAGAACACTACTTTTCACCTGGAAATTGACTTTAGAAAAGTGAAATCGTGTGTAACTATTGTGTGTGCGCTAAGTCGCTTCAGTCGTGTCCGACTCCGTGGGACCTATGGACTGTAGCCCGCCAGGCTCCTCTGCCCATGGCATTCTCCGGGCAAGAATCCTGGAGTGGGTGGCCATGCCCTCCTCCAGGGGATCTTCCTGACCCAGGGATCGAACCTGCATCTCTTATGTTTCCTGCATTGGCAGGAGAGTTCTTTACCACTAGTACCACCTAAACAAATGTAAATCCTATAACCTGAAAAATTCAGGACATTTTTGAAATGATTTTCTTGATTTATTTACTTGTCATTCAGATGTCTCATTCTGTTTTCATATTTGGCCCTTTAATAAAAATCAGTGATGCCCCCCGCCAACTCCAAATTCATTGGTGAGATACGTCAATCTCTAAGGTAAACAACCGTCTTCTGTCACTTGTGAATTTATTTAAATCTCTTTTTCCATCTCTCTCTCTACCGTGCATGAATTCTACACCTAATTCCCAAAAATCAACCAGCACAGTTTTAAACCATGTTGCTAGCCAGCTCAAATTGTCTTTCAGATGATTTGATTAAAGACTACAAAAGAACTACATTCAACAAAATCTTCTTCTAGTGGAATGCAAACATTTGTGAAGTGGGCATGCAGTACTTAACCTGCATTCACAGCTTTAGAGGGGGATGTATCCAGAAGAGGAATTAATTACAAACTAAATCCCACCCCTAGGCCTCCTTCTACAGCCATCAGGGAGGTTTAGATGTGCGCTGGTTTTTCTATAATCAAATATTAGCTACACATCCCTGTTTTCAATGTCTCATAAGAAAGGCAAGAGCTATCTGTTTAATAAAGATGTAAGAAGAAAGATGAGTCAATATTAAAATCATCATAATAAGATAATCCAAAAAAACAGGCTCATTCATAAAGTCATAAAGACTTACCCTTCAGTGAGATAGTTCTCAATTGTTAAAATTAATCATATTGTGATATGCAAATGAAGAGGCTGGCCTTTCGAATAATCACTTGGTAGTTCCAGGATATTTACACCCACTTTATTACTTACACACACCTAAAGTTTGGATGTTTCCGCTTTGGGCATACACATGAAAGCAGTTTTTCTCTAATCCAGGAAATAAACAATGTTCATTAAAAGTAAACTTTTATGCCTAGAACTTAAAATTCACAAATCCATGTAGCACACAAACTGCACACAGTATCATACATTTCTAGTAACACAAGCTATTCTGGGGAACAAAGGCAGGAGAATGATGGAGCATAACCCAGTGAAGAAATTGCAGTATTAGAGATTTGTTTTGCTCCTCTGACATGTCTAAGGAGTAGCTTGCAGCTTTTCACCCTAAGAGATGTGCTGTTTAATAAAATAGCATGGATAAGGTGATGTCCTAAGGGCAGTTTCGGTCACATTTTTTGCCATTGTACATAACTCAGCAGACTACAGACGAAGTGCTCACTAGCTTACCAGGATGTGAACTTGAAGTATCTAATCTCGATAATTTTAGATACTTTGATTTCATTATAGAAATTCCTAGACTACTTGTGGGATAAAACAAATGCTAAGACCATATTGAGTTTCATCAAGCTGAATTAGCAGAAAATAAAGATAAAATGCCTTTCTATTTAAGCACACGATGATGTTTTAATTGTTACAGCATTTGGCATGCCTAATGTATACAATTCTTGACATACATATAATAACAAAAGAAAATTGTTTGGGATTTTTCTTTTATTTCCTAGTGTCCCCTTTCCTCTCTAGGATTTTTCCCACCCCCACCCCAGCCCTGGCTTTTAGCTCTCCTCGCATTTCTCCATCTTTCTATAAAGAAAAAACTCGAGGCAGCAAAAGGATCTATGTAAAAATACCTCATTTCTAGGCCAAGGCTGCTTATTACCTAGCTATGACGAACAGACCACCATGGTTGTGACAACTGATGTAGATGCCTCCAGGGTAAAACAAAGGTTTACATATTACACAAGCAATTTAACTGTTTTCTAAATAGATTGCCAAGACAGTGGGAGTTGGCAGCCCGCACTGTGTTTTAGGTTTGGGAGACTTGGATTAGAAGTGACTGCTGATTATGAACCTTTTTATTTGTCTTCTGTGAACTACAAGCAGCCTAGTAACCCAGCAGAGAATTCTTCACAGCACTTCAACTTGTCTTCCTGGCTTCCCCAGATTACATACACAAATCACTTGACAAAAGTGGTGTAAGCGTCTTGTGCGTAGATAACCACAGAAGACAATTGTCTTGTTTCTAACCTTTAAAGAGTTCTGCAAAGTGAAATGTTTTATAATCTTTTTTTGTGTGCAGTAGGCAACGAAGGAAAGAAAAGAGTTTGGACAAAGATTATCCAGGAAGAAGAAAGGGACTCTTTTGGGGGTTCCAGTCGAAACACAATAAAGAACATAATTAACTTCACAATTCTTTGTGTTTTTCATTTGACTGCAGGGAGGAGATGAAAGAGGACTGCTAAGCCTTGCATTCCATCCCAATTACAAGAAAAATGGAAAGCTATATGTGTCTTATACCACCAACCAAGAACGGTGGGCTATGGGGCCTCATGATCATATTCTTAGAGTTGTGGAATACACAGTATCCAGGTATCATTTAAAAAATAGTTGCTGTTATTTTTCTCACTGTGTCTTTGTAATTTTTTGTTTAGAAGTTACAAATAATTTACCATCAGGTGGCAATAATTAAACCTCAAGCTCCATCTGGCTGAACATCCCGATTGTGTCTTTAAGGAAAATTGCAAAAAGTGGTAGCTTTGGCATTTTCCACAATTCTCTTTCCTCTTAAATGCCACTTGGGAAACCTAGAAACTAACGTAATTTTCCAGTAATTTTTATACACATACCTTCAGTATGTTTGCTTATTTACATACCACGTGTGTGCTTCCCTATTTGTATCCTATTTGCTTTCTGTGGGTCCACCTGACGAATTTCACAATCATTTTTTGTTTCATCCCCACCACGTAGGAAAAACCCCCATCAAGTTGATCTACGAACGGCCAGAGTATTTCTTGAAGTCGCCGAGCTTCACAGAAAGCACCTGGGAGGACAGCTGCTCTTCGGTCCTGACGGCTTTCTGTACATCATCCTCGGTGACGGCATGATCACGTTGGATGATATGGAAGAAATGGATGGATTAAGGTAAAAAACAAAACAGAAAAGCAGGTGCCCCTTGATGGTAAAGTGTTTTAAGTGAATTAAAAACTGAATTAGATCACCTTGGTTAAATTATTTAACTGTTATTATCAGTATATGCTTTTATAACATGAAAGGAATTCAGTAAATCTGCTGATGTAGTAGTTTTGAAAGTCGCTCTTCTGAGATGTCCTCACACCAGTTCCTCCCATGGGGGTGGTACAACAGCTACCTTCCACACTACCTAATGGACTGACGTCGTTCAGTGGAACTTCTCAGGGGACGTTAAACACGTGGATTGGAAAAAAAAACATTTTAGAGGCTGGATGCCAAACGCAGCACCCCACCGATGCCACAGCCTTCCGTCACCCTCGAGCTGTCTGTATCTTGGTGCTGGTCTGAAACAAAACAGTCTCTGGTTTCATTTCCCACAACGTGGAATTTGGAACGTTAATAATTTTTTCTCAAATGAGGGGAGGTGGTTTTTATTTTATGTTTTTAGCCATAGAGTAACCTCCCTGCATTTAGTGTAGGTGAAATACGTAATAAGAACGGAAAGCCCTTACGCTGTCCTCTGATTCCTCAGCGACTTCACAGGTTCCGTGCTCCGGCTGGACGTGGATACTGACATGTGCCACGTGCCTTATTCCATTCCCAGGAGCAACCCGCACTTCAACAGCACCAACCAGCCCCCAGAAGTGTTCGCCCACGGCCTCCATGATCCAGGCAGGTGAGAATCCAAGCCTCTTCTCTCTCCTGCCTTACGCAGAGCAGGCATTCACAAAGTGGGGAAGGGAGAGTTTCCAGGCACAGAGCAGCCAAGAGTCTCATCCAACGCTGTGCCACTAAAATCAAGCTGGTTCCTTGTCACCCAGCACTTTGTTCTCTTTCTTCTATTAACGTGTGAAGCAGATTGAGAAGGCAGATTAGACAAGACAAAGGACAGATTCACAGAGAAAAATCACCTTAACATTTTGGACGGTTCTTATTAGATAAACCACGTGGGCTAGTGTCATGATTAAGACTTCAAACTGAACACTTCAGACAAATAATAAACCTTTGTCTCTGTTGTTGTTCAGTCGCTAAGTTGTATCTGACTCTTTGCAACCCCATAGACTGTAGCCCGCCAGGCTCCTCTGTCCATGGGGCTTCTCCCTGCAAGAATACTGGAGTGGGTACCATGCCCTCCTCCAGGGGATCTTCCCAACCCAGGGATTGAACCCAGGTCTTAAACACTTCTAAATGTTAATTTCCTTATACAGTAAGTAAGGATGGTAATATCCACCTTGCAAGGATGCTGTACTGATTAAATACAAATCTATAAGTGAAGCACTAGCGTGTCTGACACAACTGATAGATTTTAAATAAATTATGGTTCTTATTATCATAGCTTCACTTAATATAAGATGACTCAGTGGCATTTGGAAGGAGTTGAGCTAAATGTTAACCTTTTTACTTGAAAAAAGTTATAAATATTAAAGGAATTCAGATTGACTGTTGGCTACAGTGAATCATAAAGAAACGACCACTAACTAGAGGGACCTCCCTGTCAGTCCAGTGGTTAGGACTCCATACTTCCAGTGCGGGGGACGTGGGTTCAATCCCTGACTGGGGAACTAAGATCTCATATGCCACTCACTGCCACCCCCCCCAAAAAAAAAGAAGTATGTAGAGTGAGAAATTTGGGATACACTTGAAAAATGCAAGGAAGTATAATTCTGTATAGCAGTTCTATAATGAAGGCTTCATTCAGTCTGTGGTCTGTTACTCATACTAAGGGATATCTGGCCACATTTATTCATTTACTAGTTAAGTTATTATTGCTATTTAATGTTTATTGAGTGTTCATTATGTGCAAGGTGAGTATTTCTCAAACTTTTTCTTTTTATAATCCCTCCTGCCCTTCATCTCCCCTCCATCAAAGCCCAAGTCTACAGTTCATTTCCTTTTTGGCATCTCAGGAGATCTTAAAATCTGGGCGACAGGGAATACTTAAGGTGGGTTCAGGATGTGGAGGAAACCGTCACATTCCATTCCTGGAGCTCAGAAGGCACAGATGCCACCACCGAGCAGCAGTTTGAAGTCGGAGCAGTCTGAGTCACCGCAATCCCACCGGACCCTTCATGCACCCCTCCCGGGGAGTCCCGCCCCTCCGTGTAAAAACACAGGGCGGAGTGCTCCCCAGACCTTACACGTGGCAGAGTGCCTGTGCTGTGGAGTCTTACATCCTCCGGCAGTAGAAGGCTGAACAATCTACCTCCCTCTGAAAGTATTTCAAGCAGAAGAGGATTTAATAAAGCAGAAAGGAAACTAAAATCCAAAATTATTGGCTACAGAGCAAAGCTGACTTTTATTAAGCACCTTGGTGCAGAGCAGCAGACCAAGAACCTTGTGCTTATCCTCTTCCTGGTAACTGTCAGCCAGCACTTTTAGGTAGCTGGCATCAGGTGCCTCCTTCCCTCTTTTTAATTGACATTTTAATTTTTAGATTAGTTTGAAGTTCACAGCAAAATTCAACAGAAAGCAAGGAGATTTCCCATACAACCCCTACACAAGCATTGACTCCCCCACTATCAACATGCCCCACCCAAGTAGTCATTTGTTACAATTGAGAAATCTACACTGACACATCATTACCGCCCAAACACTGTAATTTACATTAAAGAATCTCTCTGCAATGCAGGAGACCCAGATTCAATCCCTGGGTCAGGAAGATCCCCTGGAAAAGGAAATTGGAAACCTACTCCAGTGTTCTTGCCTGAAGAATTCCACGGACAGAGGAGCCTGGTGGGCTAGAGTCCATGGGGTCGCAAAGAGTCAGACTAAGCAACTAACTAACTAAGCAACTAAGCAACTAACACTTTCACTTCACTTAGTGTTGTACATCCTATGGGTTGGATACATATTTAATGATGTATCATATGGGCTTCTCAGGTGGCTCAGTGGTAAGGAATCCATCTGCAATGCAGGAAACGTGGGTTAAAATCACTGGGTCAGAAAGATCCCCTGGAAAAGGAAATGGCAACCCACTCCAGTATTCTTGCCTGGAGAATTCCATGGACACTGGAGCCTGGCGGGCTACAGTCCATGGAATCACAAAGAACTGGACACAACTTAGCAACTAAACAACAATAATAGTATCATATAGAAAAGTTCCACTGTCAGGGCTTTTTTTATATAAGAAACTAAAAAAGGTTGGAGAAGATTCTTGAGAGTCCATTGGACTGTAAGGAGATCCAACCAGTCTATCCTAAAGGAAGTTAGTCCTGAATATTTATTGAAAGGACTGATGCTGAAGCTGAAACCCCAATACTTTGGCCACCTGATATGAAGAACTAACTCATTTGAAAAGACTTTGATGCTGTGAAAAATTGAAGGCAGGAGGAGAAGAGGACGACAGAGGATGAGATGGTTGGATGGCACCACCAACGTGATGAACATGAGTTTGAGTAGGCTCCCGGAGTTGGTGATGGACAGGGAGGCCTGGCATGCCGCAGTCCATGGGATCGCAAAGAGTGGGACATGACTGAGTGGCTGAGCTGAACTGAAAAAAGGTTAAAAGGGCCAAGTGGACCTTATGAATTTGGTACTCAGCCAGAGCTAGACCTCATGGCATCCAGAGACGCCAGCTTTGGGAGACCTCACCTTTTCCTCCAGATTTCCTCTTTCTTGTTAGAAACAGGTCAGACTTTTTTCTTGGTCAGAGTTTCTCCATCTTCAAAAGAAAAGCAATACAGGAAAAATTTGAAACCCTATATGGACTTGGTTCCACCTTAAGTCACTGCAGGTCTGTGTCATGATCCCTGCCAATCACTGTAATCCGGGAATCATTGAATTAATGAGGACAAGAAAGGGACTCTGGCTACAGAACAGCTACCCACCTTTGGCAGATCAGGCTTATAGTTTCTCTAATATGAATGAGATCATCTGGCCCCAGCAGGTTTTATTTCATTGTTGTTGTTTAAATAATCGCTGCATATGAATCTTAAGTCGCTTATGTCCCAGACACTACTCTCAGATTTTTTTAAAATTTAATTTATTTTAAAATTCCCAATGATTCTGTTTTTGTCATGAATGTATTTTGTTAGCCTGAAGCGGTGATTCCCAGTGGGATGATTTTGCCATCAGTGGACATTTGGCAGTGTCTAGAAGCATTTTGGTGTCCACAAATTAGAAGGAGTAGGTCATGCTACCGACACATAGTGGGTGGAGGCCAGAGATGCTGCTAAATAGACTACAATGCTCAGAACAGCCCCCTTTTCATCTCAGAAAAAGAGACATATCTGGTACCAAATGTCAGTAATGCCAAGCTTAAGAAACCTGAAAACACTGCAGGTCTGTTTTCCAAATTTGTGAAAATTTCAAAAATATTATTCAATTTCATTCTTCCCTCAACCCACACTCCCCATACTTAGTCACTCATTGGCTGAAACATTCAACAAATATTGAGCCCTCCTTATATTCCTGGATTTGAACTAAGGAACAGAAATAACAGTGATAAAGAGATTGAAAATAGTTCCTTTCCTCATAGAGTTTACAGTCAGTGACTTAAGTCACAGAAATATTCTGGCCACAGATAGGGGGTGAACATGAAGTCAGAGTCCACGTGAAGGACTTTAGTGATTGTGGAGGCCAGCTTTATTTTATTCCTTAAACTGGAGTGCATGCTCCTCTTTGTGAGGGCAGCCCACACTTTAGAATATACTTATTCTATATAAGAAACACAAGGGATTTCTCTTGTGGTCCAATGGTTAACACTGCCTTTCAATGCAATGGGTGCAAGTTCAATCCCTGGTCAGGGAGCTAAGATTCCCAAATGCCTCATAGCTAAAAAGCAAGAAAATAAAACAGAAGCAGTATTATAGCAAATTCAATAAAGACATTTTAAAAATGGTCCACATTTTTTAAAAAATCTTTAAAAAAAAGAAACACAAAATTAATACTATAACTAATACATACCTTCCTTGTCTTGCAATTGGGTAAGTCCCAGTGAAACCATTGCAAGTTGAAAATACCATAAGTGGAAAAGGCACTTAATGGTCCTCACCTACCAAACGTCATAGCTTAGTCTAGTCCACTTTAAACATGCTCACAATACTTACGTTAGTGTACAGTTAGGCAAAATCTTTTAACATAGATCCTGTTTAATTGAATGCGTGTCTGTGTTAGACTTCTCTGGTGGCTCAGAGGTTAAAGTGTCTGCCTACAATGCAGGAGACCTGGGTTTGATCCCTGGGTCGGGAAGATCCCCTGGAGGAGGAAATGGCAACCCACTCCAGTACTCTTGCCTGGAAAATCCCATGGATGGAGGAGCCTGGTGGGCTACAGTCCATGGGGTCGCAAGGAGTTGGACATGACTGAGCAACTAACTTCACTTTCTGTGTTAGTCGCTCAGTAGTATCTGACTCTTTGTGACACTATGGACTTGTGGCCTGCCAGGCTCCTCTGTCCATGGGATTTCCCAGGCAAGAGTACTGGAATGGGTAGCCATTTCCTTCTCCAGGGGATCTTCCTGACCCAAGGATTGAACCTGGGTCTCCTTCACCGGCCAATTCTTTACCATCTGAGCCGCCAGGGAAGCCGTTAAATTGAATGCCTATGTTTTCATGAGGTATTTGTCAAATATCAAATATTTCAATATTTATCAAATGTTATACTGAAAGTGGAAAGCAGGATGGTTGTAGGGATACAGAGTGGTTGTCTATGCATTGTTGATTCCTCTATAGTGATGGCGCGAGTTGCTGGGAACTGTAGTTGCCTCTGCCTAGCATCACAAGAGAGTATTGTACCACATGTCTTTAGTCTGGGAGAGGATCAAAACTTGAAGTACAGTTTCTCCTGACCATGTAATACTCCCACAGCATCATAATGCTGGATCATCATAACTCAGGGACCACGTATCCTGCAGCATGGGTTTCAGGTGTGAGTTGATGGTACCAGTGTTCCTACTCTTGTACGTTACCCAGGTATCATAGCTGTTCTTTCCCTTAACAACAGACTAACACATGTTTTAAGTCAGCGTGCAGGTTCAAAATGGAGGGAGGTACCAAAAGAAATTAAGAAATACACTCCAGAGCTCATTAAACTTCAGCAGAGTAAACAAACAGGATGTTTCCTTCGGCGGTTTCTAGAGATTCCAAACTAAATCCTCCCTAGAATCCTTGCCAGCCCACAAAGGGTTCCTGTGTCAGGAATCTCTGAGTTTGGAAGATACCCTGGTAGGAATTCATGAGTGTCCCCACTTTTGTTGCAGATGCGCTGTGGATCGACACCCCACTGATATAAACATCAATTTAACAATACTTTGTTCAGACTCCAATGGAAAGAACAGATCATCGGCCAGAATCCTACAGATCATAAAGGGGAAAGACTATGGTAAGTGTTGATTTGGGCTTTCATTCGGGCTTTGTTTTATTTTAGTGTATTAATTGAAGAGAAAAGGATTTCTGCAAAATGAGCATTTAGGAAAGCATCAGAACACTGGCCTAACAGTGGTAACAGAATCAGTTGCTGGCTTCTTAAAGGTCCAATGATTCTTACAAGCCCTAGGGGCTCCATTTGGGTAATTACCCTCCCCGTGGATTGAATGCTGCTCTGTAGGTCCAAAAAATTTAATGGACCTTCAAAAGTTAGCAGTTTATATTTTGCTCATCTGAGAATCAAGATGAATACCTTCTATTTATTTAATATATAAGAGAGAACTTGTCTTAACATCTTATATACAGAGGAAAAAAATAAGTGTTAAGGGTAAGAAATTTCTCAATACCCAACATGCCAGTCTCAGCAATTAGGAAAATTATGTGCTTCAAATAAGAATGTATTTTTTAAAGGTGTTTATTTTAGAGAAAACAAAGTAATAGACTTATAAAAACATGTTATTTACCCAAGTCATGAAGATGGAATGTTTAGATCTTGTTTTTAATGACATGATTACTAGAGTATTTGAGATACATATTAAAATATAAAGTTAATATTTTTCCACACTTTTGTATTTACTTATTTTGGAGGAAACAGTATATCAAATATGATTATGATTCAGGGAACATAGTAGATGAAGATTATTGAATTGATTGCTTCTTCTATTCATTCAATACAGATATTTATTTAGTACCAGGAATGAAGCAGCTGTGCTGGTTCATGTAGTATTCAGTTATTTTACTTTATTTTTTTTCAGGTATTCATGTATGTGTGTGTACATCTTATAAAACCAAAGAATAATGTGGTTAGAAAAAAAAAAATCTAATGAGTCACTAGCCTGTGGGAATTTTAGCTATATTTGTAGATTAAACTAAATTCTACAATCACATTAATTTGGGTTCAGCTGAAACTGATTACAATATAGATGGCCCTACATTTATATATTAAAAACACAGCTGCAGAATTCTTTTACTACTTATATATATCAAATTTTGTTTGTCAATTTTACCTCAATAAATCATTAAAAAAAAAAAACACAAATAACCACATCCACAGCATTTACTACATGCCAGGGCCTGTAATAAGTACTTTACAAACTTCAGTCATTCATTTACAGAGAAATCCTGGAAGTCCTCTTACTGTTCACACTGTACAGATGAGAAAACTGCGACGCAGAAAGGTTACTTGTCACACCACAAAAGTGACAGGATCTGGATTTGAACCTGGGTAGCCTGATTCCAGAGTTCATGACCTTAGACATTCAGCTTTGCTGCCTCTCAGTACCCTGGGAAAGGATTAAATTAAATTCATTTAAAACTTAATGGTTCTACTTTTTATAATATGTTCACCATCATCAGGCACTCTCGGTGGCTCAGCGGTCAAGAATCAGCCTGCAATGCAGGAGATGCAAGAGCCTTGGGATCGATCCCTGAGTCAGGAAGATCCCCTAAGAAGGAAATGGCAAGCCACTCCAGTATCCTTGCTGGGAAAATCCCATGGATGGGGGAGCCTGGAGGGCTACAGTCTATGGAGTTGCAAAGAGTTGGACATGACTGACCGAGCACACATCCACCTACTCACCATAATCACATGGGAAGCAGGAAGGACTTTAGAATTTTTGTCTTTCCACACAAGCTTTTGCCTAAAAGACTTCCTGATGATAGTGACTTATTTAAGTATGTAATAAGTAATTTTCAGATTAATTTCCAGGGGCATTGTATCTTTTTCATTGTAATTGGCATCTTTATATTTGAGAACATAATAACATGCATGAAAAGATTGAGATACATGACTATTCACATGTAATTCTGAAGGAATGACTGAAATAGGCTTTGTTAACCACATGACCCTATAAACCAAAACTCTTAAAACATTTTAAATGAAGATATTACTTGACTAAGTGACCGTGTTTTGAAATATGCAACAAATGTGGTTTTGAAGACCTTTTATGTACCATGCCTTTATTTTCATTAAAGTGTAAACTTAAACATTTTCTAGAATTTGACAGAGCTTTGACTCAGTTTAGGAGGTATACACAGAAGTGTTTCTACAAAAAACTCAATATTAAAAAAATTAAGTATTATTTGTTTAAGTATTTTAGTTCTAAAGTCCACAATTTCCAAAATGTTCAGAGATACTGTCATTGAAAATTTGGTATGTCTTGGAAGTTATAATAACAATAAGCATTTGCAGATCATTTTTGTTTCATTCTGTTATGCATGGAAGCCCTGTACATTTTATAATATTTAAGCAAAAGGGTTAATTATTTTCACTGAAGATCTATAGCAAGAATCCATCTTATGCATCATGGAACACATTTCAGAGTTAAAGTAAATTACTGTAGTAATTGTGGCATGGCCTACATTGTGCGTGCGTGCATGCAAAGTGACTTCAGTCATGTCTGACTCTTTGTGACCCCATGAACTGTATGTAGCCTGCCAGGCTCCTCTGTCCATGGGATTCTCCAGGCAAGAATACTGGAGTGGGTTGCCATGCCCTCCACCAAGGAATCTTTCTGATGCAGGGATTGAACCCGCATCTCTTATGTCTCCTGTATTGGCAAGGTTGTTACCACTAGCGCCACCTGGGAAGCCCCCTGGCCTACATCAGTTTTCCTTTATAAAAATATGTTTCATTTGATCTAATGTGATGTCTATTTATTTCCAGAAAGTGAGCCATCACTTTTAGAATTCAAGCCATTCAGTAATGGTCCTTTGGTTGGTGGATTTGTTTACCGAGGCTGCCAGTCAGAAAGACTCTATGGAAGCTACGTGTTTGCAGATCGTAATGGGTAGGCTTTGTGACACCACTGTTTGATAGATCGAATGACATATCCTTGGATTATTGGGCAAATCATCAAGAAATATTCAAATGCATGTCACCCTTTGGAGGTCGGGCTTGGGACACATAAAAACTACTGTTTATTAATATTTATTTTTTTCAACCCTACCAGTTAGTCTTTCTTTTCTTTTTTTCCGTTGGCTGTGTTAGGTCCTCCCTGCTGCACAGGATTTCTCTCCTTGCAGTGAGTTGGGGCTGCTCTCTTGTTACCGTGCACAGCCTTCCATTGTGGTGGCTTCTCCTGTTGCAGCTCAAGGGCTCGAGAGCGTGGACTTCAATAGCTGCAGCTCACAGACTGTTGCTCTGCAGCGTGTGGAATATCCCTGGCCCGGGGACTGAACCCGTGTCCCCTGCACTGGCAGGTGGAATCTTAACCTCTGGACCATGAAGGAAGCCCTAGTATTTACTTTTAGTTCCACCATGTATGGTGGGGGGAATTAAAGAATTTCCTAAAAGATGCTTTTGAAACAGACTTGATCAAATTCATAAAATAGTTTTTAAGAGCAGAGAAGTCTTCAGATGGACATTTCATATTATTTAGGCTCTTCCCTTCATCCTTAACATAAATTTACCATGATCATGAGTAAATTGAAAAAATGTAGTTTTACATGAGTTAAGTAAATATTTTTAAAATTATTGGAAGGCTAAGAATTTTTTTTTTTTTTTTGCCAGACTCTCAGGACTTTTGGCAACAGACCTTAATTTCTCTCTATTGATAGGAATACTGCAAAATTAAATTTTAGCCTAAAGCTTAGAGGTCACATTATCAATAATTATAAGAAACTCTGTAATGAAGCCCAAAATAAGGATCTTGTTTCCCAAGTCGCTGTCATTCAGGCATATGACAGAGCTGATATGCTTGGTGACTAAAAGGAAATAGAAAACTGAACTGACCCTGTGTTCTTCCCCTGTCCCTCTGACTGAGAGCACAGCATGATGTCTATAGTCCTGGACAGGAAGTATTATTCTCCAGATGAAGGGGAGGGTATTTCTCATACTCAGGTACTTTTAGTACCCACCCCCTCCATACAAAATGTCATCTTTAAGTACTTTTTCCTCACATGGGAATTTCAGAGTATTCACACACATTTTGGGCTATATTATTTTTCCCTTTAGAAGCCAGGTCCGTGGCACAAGAATTATTTACTACAAGCTTTATTTTAAACGTGTCATTGTGTCTTTTAGGCAAAAGCATATTTTCATCATAGGTTTCTGGTATGTTTTTCTTGTAGGAATTTCTTAACCCTCCAGCAAAGTCCTGTGAGCAAGCAATGGCAAGAAAAACCACTCTGTCTTGGCAACGGTGGTTCCTGTAGAGGTTACTTTTCAGGTCACATTTTGGGATTTGGAGAAGACGAATTAGGTACTGTACAAACTATTTCTGTTAAGTTCCATTCTCAATCTTTGCCCAAGAGGCTCTGTTCTACTCTGAAAAACAAGCAAAATAATCTCAACCTCCATTTGTTGGAAATGTAACCTCCAGCAAAGATGACCAGTTCAGTATTCTCTTCCAAGAAACTTTCTCTGGGGGGGGTCTTTAAATCTTATTTCTACTCCAGAAACATGAAAGAAACAAAGCAGGAAGATGGGAGTTGGAAACAAAAGAGAATTTTTGAATCTTAAAGAGAGAGAAAATTTCAAATGGCTACTGATATTTTTGAAGCAGTTAATCATTTGTTTACATTCTCTGTCTGAAAACCATTCCACTTATCCATGTCTCTTGGAATAAATTTAAAATAGGTTGCAATCTGAATCTCACTTTATTTCCTAATTTTTAATTTTTTTGCCCATAAGGGCATGAAATTTGTTGGAAATAATCTGAGATTATAGATCTGCTTCCAAACAGAATGAAAATTATCTTCTCCTTGATAATCTCCAGGATAACATACAATTTATTTGTTGATATATTATCCAAAATGTATGCAGTTTAAAAAGCAAAAAGAGGTTGATAATTGGAATGTTACCAAAGAGTGAAATGCTACCAGTTGTAAAATTTAGAGATAAATGTAGCTCTCATAATGATTCCCTTTAAAGAATGATATCCAAACAAACTGTGGCTACCATGCTTCTTTTAGCCTTGGACATGAATTTCTAGGTATTAAGAAAGAAGAGTTGTGTTTTCATCTAAATCATAATTATTTACTCTAAATGTTCAGATTTGCTTTTCCTCCACCAAACAGAGAATTCCTCAGAAATACCTCCATGCCATTCACTTCGGTTGCCAAGAGACTCAAACTAGATTCCTGTAGCACAAAGCACTGATTCCAGAGCTGCAGGAATATGGGGATCCAAGAAGAGTAGCCCAGTCTGTCTCTTCCTTGTTTTAGCGCTGCAAGCATCTTGCATTTAAGTCTGCCTTGAAATTCTTCTACCCCATTCAAATGAACCAGAAGTATAGCCTTTATCACTTCAGTCTTCTGTAGTGTAATTTAAACGTCATTGGCAAACTCTGATTTTAAAGTATACATTAGGGTCAAATTGTTTGTGACAGAGTTAGAGATAAGTATTTAGAATCATTTTGATGAATCATTTTGGTTTCCCCAGACCTTACTGCCAATAACTCACCATCATTTATCCTACTACCATCACCCCACCGTGGTTAAAATGTCCAAATATCTGTCCATACTTAATACAGTGTTGGGAGGAGAACCAGAAATGAGGCACACACGGTTCTTACTGTCCAAAACCAAAAATATCTTGTATATTTCATAATTTAGAGTAAATATACTTTCACTCTTCAATATAAACTCTTTGGTTTTTAATTAAGAGTCCTATAATAAAGTGAGTTAGATTTTTTTACTGAGTTTTTTCTGGATGTGTGTGTGTGTGTGTTTAACCATAAAATCAGAATGGGTTTGTTTTAAGGATTTAATGTGGTAAACTACATAAAGTAGTTGATGAAACAAATATGAATTTTTTACTTACATTCCTTAGTTTTTTAATGCCATTTTTTCTGTTGTGTCATGCCTTTATTATAAGTCCCATAATATCCTTTCCAAAAGTGAGAAAGCAGTAGGGTGTGCTTAATACACAATAACAGGTTAAAATAGAGAAATATAGACTACATCAAAGACTATTTTGTGAATGAGAACCAAATATAAATTTTAAAGTCTCATAAACATACAATCATAAAAACAACTTCTAATTCCCTATTCATATGATCAGTTCTATGTATTGAATTATATGGAAGGAATGGTCATAAATGAGAGTGGTTCTCTCCTAAGAGGAGAGAGTTGGCACAGTGTACTAGGAATTGGGACAAGGGTACTTTTAAATAACACAATAAGGGGGCTTCCCGAGTGGTCCAGTGGTTAAGACTTCGCCTTCCAGTGCAGGGGGTCCCATCCCTGGTCAGGGAGCCAAGACCCCACATGCCTCAAAGCCAAAAAAGCCAAAACATAAAACAGACGCAATATGGTAACAAATTTAATAAAGACTTTAAAAATGGTCCAAATCAAAAAGATCTATTAAAATAAATAAATAGTTCAGTCAAGAAAGATGGCATAAGCACAGACGAAAGGGGGAAAATGCACCTGGTGGTGAGCTACTGACAGACAGGACCTGGACAGATGCTCAGACAGGAGGAGCCAAGGACAGCGGGGGCCTAGAACAGGATGCTGGGCCAGGAACTTGCCTCTCGTTTCCAAAGTCAGGAGGCCAGTGAGGCTAAAAACTTTGCAGATGGCATCAGAGCAATAGGGGGGGCACATGGTCATAGACCACTGTCAGGACAGCCGTGGCTTGGAGAGAGAGTACCAGCCATTGGAGCGAAATTAGGAGTCATTGGAGGGTGTTGATACAGAAGAGTGCAACCCAATTTATACACTCTGCTGCTGCTGCTGCTGCTAAGTCACTTCAGTCGTGTCCGACTCTGTGCAACCCCATAGACGACAGCCCACCAGGCTTCTCCGTCCATTGGATTCTCCAGGCAGGAACACTGGAGTGGGCGCCATCGCCTTCTCCGGTTTATACTCTCTAGCTTGCCTTTTAAGGAATCTCTGCCGCTGATACACTCAGAGTGAACATAGAGGAATAAGCATAAGAGCAGGGCGGTCAGTCAGGAGGCTGTGGCCACCATCCAGGTGAGAGACCACCCTCTGCTCACACCAGAGCAATGGGGAGACGTGGGAAGAAGTGACTGGAGTCCGGATGCACTGAGGGTGGACTTAGGAAGCTCTCATAATCATCAGGCAAGTGATCTGAGGATGTACAAGTATATATTATATATGTACTGTGAGTGCTTAGTTGCCTCAGTCGTGTCCAGCTCTTTTGCCACACCACGGACTGTAGCCCGCCAGGCCCCTCTGTCCATGGGATTCTCCAGGCAAGAATACTGGAGTGGGTTGCCATGCCCTCCTCCAAGGAATCTTTCCAACCCAGGGATTGAACCCACATCTCCTGTGTCTCCTGCATTGGCAGGTGGATTCTTTACCACGGGCACCACGTGGGAAGCCCAATATACACATACACATGGGGCTTCCCAGATGGTAAAGAATCAGCGATAAAAAATCCACCTGCCAATGCAGTAGACATAGGAGACTTGAATTTGATCCCTGGGTCAGGAAGATCCCCTGGAGGAGGAAATCACAACCTGCTCTAGTATTCTTGCTGAGATAATCCCATTGTCAGAGGAGTCTAGTGGGCTACAGTCCATGAGGTCTCAAAGAGTCAGACACGACTTAGCAACTGAGCATGCACACGCAGTCAACAGAAGGTGAAGCCTTACAATACTGTGAACTAACTTACTGCATTTCTCTCTCCATAGGTGAAGTTTATATTCTATCAAGTAGTAAAAGTATGACCCAGACTCACAATGGAAAACTCTACAAAATTATCGATCCCAAAAGGTGAGCTTTTTAAAAAATATTCTATTAAGTCAAGTAATATTCTCTAAGTTATTCCAGTGCATTCAGATTGTGATGGAATTGCAATTAGCACTCAAAGATGAACATTTCTGCCCCGTCCATCTGCTGAGTACTCTCCGGAGAGACCCTCAACTCCAGTCTCTAAAACTTAGACTTGAATACCCTGACCTTCAAAAGCATTACTTTGATCTTGTACATAGCCATGGCATCCTTGTAGTCAGCAGAGAGCCACTGTCTACAGGGTCAGCTGGCTACAGTCCATGGGGTCGCAAAGAGTTGGACACAACTGAGCAACTGAGCATGCTCACACGCAAGGAAAGTTTTTTTGGCAATTCAACATCGAAGCCTCGTTTCACAGCTATCTGGAAGCTCACAGCTTCTGAGACCAAACAAAATGAAAGCTACGGAAGTATTTTCTTATTGACTTCAGCAAAAGGAAGATGTGAATGTTTCATCCTTTAGAGAATCTAATTATCCCTCCCCTGCTACCCTCTACGCACCTAACCCAACTTCAACACACACTCAACTTTCAAATTACCTTGGGTCATCATGAGTCAGTTGTTAATTTCATGGATAAAATCAGAATTCTCAGAAGCCACTAAAATTACATTCTGTGAAATAGGTTTTAGGTTGTAAGTTTAGAAACAATTATTGCAGGACTTCAGCATACTCACTTATATGACCACTGTGCAACCAGTTGTGATCGCACTCTAGCTTCACAGTGCTATGAATTTTTAATCCTTTCTTTTTTTCAAACTTTTTACTGAAGCATGTATTCAGAAAAGGCCCCAAATCATAAGCATACAGTATGACAGTTCTTCATAAGTGGCATACAATGTAACTAGCACCCAGAAGAAGGGATGGAAGGGTACAGGGGGCCTGAAGACCCCTCATTTCTATTTCCAGTTACCTCCCCTGCCAAACATAATCATCCTGTGACCTCTAACAGCATAGGTTAGCTTCTCCCATTTTTGAACTTCCCAGGTGGCACAATGGTAAAGAATCCACCTGCCAATGCAGGTGACTCAGGTTCGATCTCACATGGGTGGGTGTGATCCCCTGGAGGAGGAAATGGCAACCCACTCCAGTAATCTTGCCTAGGAAATCCTATGGACAGAGGAACCTGGTAGGCTACAGTCCACGGCATCTCACAGAGTTGGATACGACCAAGTGACTGAGCACATTTTTGAGCTTTTTATAAGTGGAATCATATAAGATGTACTCAATTGTTTCTGATTTCTTTTGCCCATCGTTATCTGTGAGATTTGTCTGTATTATTCTCAAGGATGCTTAAAACACCACTATGTGAGTGAATTTCTAATTCTTTCTATGCTAAGTTAACCTCATGAGCCCATGTTCAAATTGAAATCCCCAAATTTCAAGTCTCTTTTAGGAAAAAAAAATTCCAATAATCCAAAAAGTTTACTAAAAGCATTCATTTAATTCCCCTTTAAAAATATTTGTAGGTTATAAATTGTGTGTGTTTTTCTGAAAAAATCACTGACTAACAAATGGAGATTCTTGTCCTTTTTCCATCTCAGAAAGCATTCATTGCCTTTCCTGAGAAAAATATAGGTTGACATTGGTGTTGCAGAACAAAAAAGAATAATCAGTGCTAAATGGTCTGTGATAGAGGACATCATATATACCCATCTGTCACACAGTGATGATGATAGTTTTCCTTCTCTATTTAGCAGTATGCATTTTCTTTCACAATAAGAGAAGTACCCATCTACACGCTGTAAGGGTTCTTTTCCTCCTTGAATGTCCTTCAAGAGAAGCAAAGTAATGAATGAAAAAAAAAATCGGAAATCAGACACCTTGGTGATTATTGAAGTTGGTGATATTAAGAACAAAAATCAAACCAATGTTAATTCATAAACTAGCAGCCTTCTAATGATTCAGAATGTGGTCTAGGGTTTCACTCAGATCTAATGCCATTAGTTTTGAAATAGCCATTGTTATTCCATTATGTTTGTCAAAGTTGATATGCTTTTGCAAGCTTTCTGCTGTATTATTCATTCTTGCTCCTCACAGAAAGGTTTCTCTCTTCCTATGGATTGTTTAGTCTGTTGGTGGTGAGTGGAGGTGAATTTTACACCTTCAGTCCATTATTAGCGTCTAATTACCAGGGTTGCCGTGAGGGGCCTTGGCTCTGCGATCTCGGGGCCTCCTCTCTAGGGTGGTCTCAGAGTGACATACCTCACAGGCCTGACTTTTCACTATGGTGCCTGTTTCTGGTGAGTCCTGTCACGTGTGGGGCCAGGGTTAAGAGGTGTGTTTGGTTTTGAGGAGGTGGGGGGGATTAACAGAGTCCCAGAGACACCGTCCTTGTACACAGGCCTAGGCATACATTTCAAAATTAAACTGACTATAAGAAAACAAATGTTTTCATAAACATTTGTTGGGAGCCGCATGCTGTTTCGATTTGGATGCCAACGTTTATTATTATAGTAGTTCTCCCAACACGAGTGGAAGTTCTGTATAAGCAGACACTTTAGTATATGTGAATGGGGCTATTTTGGAAACACGAGCAAATTACTAGCCTCACAGTGTTAATAGGATGTCTGCTTCGGGGCACAACTGCTTTTCTAAAACGCTTAAGGGAGAATTTGAAGAAAGAGCCTCATCAACCAAAAAAAAAAAATAATCCACAGACATTTCTTGTTACGATAAATATCTCATTCCAATTAAAATCTTAGATTAACTATTCTTGTGCAGGAACCCCAGACTTGTTTGAATCATGTTTTCAGAATAAATTTCAAATATCAGTTGACTCATGGCTCTAAAAAAGGAGAACTATAAATCATAGAAATCTTATATTCTGTACTGTGTCATAGAAGTTCCATTTTCACACACCGTAAAATTTATGTTTTCTCTTTTTTTCCTGCACACACACACACACACACACACCCCAAAATGAAGCTTGTAGACACAGAAGGTGGGATGCATTGAGAGTAGCACTGACATCTCTACACTACCATGTGTCAGACAGACAGCTAGTGGGAAGCTGCTCTGGGAGCCTGTCGTGGCACGGGAGTCGGCTCTGTCGTGCTCTCGAAGGGTGGGAGGGTTATGTGAATACATGCAGCTATTCACGTTTGTTGTACTGCAGAAGCCAAATACAGCATTGTAAGGCCATTTTTCTCCAATTAAAAATAATTTTTAAAGAAGAAGATGAGGGAATTTATAAATCATATGCAATATTCTTGGGTCATCTGGACAAGATCAGATGAGGTCCCAGCATTACCACCTCCATCTGTAAGGACAGTCTGGTCTCAGGCTATATGTTGTTTGAGTGCTCAGTCGTTCAGCCATGTCCGACTCTCTGTGACCCCCTGGACTGTAGGCCACCAGGCTCCTCTGTCCATGGAATTCTCCAGGCAAGAATACTGGAGTGGGTTGCCATGTTCTCCTCTAAGGGATCTTCTCGACCCAGGGATCAAACCCGGGTCTTCCATGTCTCCTGAATCGCAGGCAGATTCTTTACCCACTGAGCGACCTGGGAAGCCCCCAGCCTATATGTTACTTAATTATTAACATAAATGTAAAATCCTTTACAGTGGGCATCCTTCTCAGAAAGGATGGTTTGATAACCTATTATAAAAAATACAAATGCCATTGTAATCAAAGGAAACTTCCATGAGAATACAACCAGCTTTCTCTACAGCTTAACTAAGACATAGGAGATTTTAAGGGAAAAGCAGAAAAGGGATGAACGTTGCCTCCATCTTAGCATGGGGATACCTTCAGAGGTAGGAAAGTCAAGTCTCATGGTGGAGTTGAGTTAAGATTGAATCAATGCCAATCTCCCAGTTTACTGGCCCACCTCACTAGGTCCCCTGAAGCTTTGAGTATTGAGTTCTGCGTGCCCTGGTCTGGGACTCCTTCAGCCAGCATGTCAATGCATAGAGCACAGGAACTGGGCCATCATTTTAGTTTCATTTAGTAGTGCCACCTGAGGCTGGTTAAGATAAGGAAGTTGATCCTGGCAGGCCCAGTAGTCAGATGGTCTTGTCTCTGAGTCCTGGAATGTGGATGTTGCATTATGCCACCACACTGTGCTCCTCTCCCTGTCTATCAAGTGCAGATGAGCATTCTGCTTCTGCCTCATTTCTGCAGAGTGCTGTGAAGATAATAATGGATTTAAAGCCTATGCTATTCTTTAGTACCCTTGGTGTTCATTCCATGCACTCAAGAATTATTTTCAGGTAATTGATCTCACAACTTTTGAGGTTGTTTTAGTGCCAAAATTGGGGTCAAGATGTCCACGGAGTTTTAAAGAACTCTATAGTAGTAGTAATGTCAGTCACTCAGTCATATCCGACTCTTTGCAACCCCATGGACTTAGCTCACCAGACTCCTCTGTCCATGGAATTCTCCAGGCAAGCATACTGGAGTGGGTTGCTATTTCCTTCTCCAGGGGATTTTCCTGACACAGGTATCGAACCCAGGTCTCCTGCATTATAGGCGTGTTCTTTACTGTCTGAGTCTCCAGGGAAAGAACTCTTTGAGTCTAGTTTTCAGTTGTTCAAGTCATGTCTTAGAGGCTTATTCTTTGTTAAATCTTTTCAGAATCACATAAGTGCTCCTGAGGAGTGGAAATGAAAGGATTCTAACAGAGTTATGAACTTACCAAGCTTCATTTTTATAGGATCCAAATTTTTTCACACTATTGAAAAAGATTCTTTAATTTTTGTTTCAGATAAACTGAAACTAAAGGCCCTTTTTTTGACCTGGAAATATTTCCAGGGTTATTTCTCCAGGAATTTGTAAAAAAATATCATTCTTAAACATACTGAGTTAATTACCATGTACCCAGTCTTCTCTCTATTTTAACAGGTTGCTTATCTGTTATACCCACTCAAATCACACAGCCCATTCCCTTAAGAGGTCTATAAATTAACAATGCAAATTCCCAGCTTCAGAGGTTATTTTATAGAAACATCCTATCTCCAGACTCCTGTATGGCCAATATAAAA